AATAAATGGAAAAGCAAATGAAAGAATGACCGAATGAATTAATGAGCTGGTTAAATGTATGGATGCGAGTGATTCTGAGAGAGTTTACTGTTTAACGTAATTAATTCAATGCGAAACCAACATGTTCACCTTTGCGAAGCTCAGTGGGTACCTATCACTGCTGTGTGATACTGCTCCCTGTGACGGAGCCCATACTGTAACAAATTGCGGAAAGTATGGACTTACATACAAGCACATATTGAATAAATGCATCAGCTCCATCAACAAATCTCAAATTTTTAGATTTCGGTCAGAGGTCACTCTACACTTAAAGTGGAAAATAGATTCTTAGGAGGAGCAGACCCAACTAACACTTGACTGGGCGTGTGGATAGATAAATCGCCTGCTTAAATGAAATATTTAAATAAAGACAAATTGTTTAAATGTGTGGGCGAAATAGATGAATGGGTGGACGGATAACTGCATGGATGAGGCGAATAAATGAACAAGTGAATGAGTCCATGGATTGGCCAAATAATGAATGATGGTGTCCAGCATAAATAAGAATTACTGCGCACGTCAAATTGGCATGCACATTCAAATTTTTTGAATGGTTGTGTGTGTGTGCAAATGCAAAGCACCATTTGCACATAAATTTACCCTTATTCCCCCCTACATTTTTGACGAAACAGGCTTACGGCGAAGAAATACCGTCTGATTTACGGGAATATGAATGAGGTATTGCAGAATAACACTTGCGTCTGTTGATGTCAATATTGCATGTGCTTTGCTGCAGGCATTTGGGATCGCGTTAGGAAGTACGAAATCTGCAACGGCGGTAATTATGCAAAGATACTGAAGGTCGCCAACGCTTCCAGCTGGTTGTACGATGACGTCACGCAACCAAAAGTGATCTTGTTTCAGAAGCTGGTAGAACTATTTTATTGGTAAATGTAGGGCCGCAGGGATGCATTTTTGCAAAACACAGGGGTGAGAAAGGGAAGGGAGGTGGTGCAGAGGGAAGAGATGGCTGAGCATGCCTCCGAAATACACTCGGAGTAGTTTTTTACCCAGATTTGACACACCTTTTACAGCTGGGCGCAGGGGTGGTGTTTCTCAAAATTAGGTTTTGGGCAGCTGAACCACCCAAACTATGAAAAATGAAAAATAAAAGACAAAAATGATAAGTTAACGCAGGAAACTGCATTCCTGGTTAGGGGGCACGATGCCGCCTCCCCCCTTAACTCAGGGGCGGATCTAAAGTGTGTGGGGGGGGGGGGGGCACCGGGCCATGGCTTCCCCTTGGGCCACGAAGAGGCTCAGTGGCTCCAGGGTAGCCCATAGCCAACCAACCATGTGCAGTTTTTTTAGCAAAAAAAGAAGAAACGCAACAAAATTGGACATCTCTGGATTTCCAGGCGACCAAGAACAGTTTCAAGCGAAAGTGAGGGGCCGACGAGAAATGAAAAAAGTTCTTCAATGATTGAAAAAGCTGTGGATAGTAAACTATAAGCCTCATTACACTGTCTAAGCGCTCTATGCTGTTTCTGGGGGGGGGGGGGGGGCTACATGCCCACTTGCAGGGTCCTTCCGATCGCTACGGAACCTTCCACGTTGCCCTTTTTCTCAGAGAGCCCTGTGCTGTTGCTGGGTTCTTCCTGCTAGCGTGCCAGGGCACTCTTGTCAGTCAAGGGTCCTTCCACGGATTTTTTCCATTCACCAGAAAGGCTCTGTGGACTGTGGCCAGGACCCTATATCTTAACCTGCCGGAGAACTCTCAGTTGCTCAGAGGCCCTTTACGAGGGTCCCGGTTAACATACCAACACGCTCGCGATATGCTCCCGGGCCCTCTACATTGGCCTAGGGCGCTTCCCATTCCATGTCGCTTGCTTAGGACCCTACGCTCTTGTCGGGGCCCATCTGTTAGCCTGCTTGGGCGTACTCGGTCTTTCAGGGATCATACACACTGGGTCTTGGGTACTTCTTGTCTGAATGGGGCGGGGGGACCTACGCTCTTGTGGGGGTCTGTTTGATAACCTGCTCGAGCACACTCGATCGTTCGGGAGCCCTCTACATCGGGTTTTGGGCACGTCATATTTGAATGGGTGCCCTACGCACTCGTCGGGGACCCCCTCTGTTCACTTCCTCGACCACAATGGATTGTTCGGGAGCCCTGCACATTCGGTCTTGGTGTTTGAATTTACGGCCCTGTGCTCCTATCGGGGTCATCTGATATCTTTTTCGGGTACACTCCACCTTTCGGAACCCTCCACATTGCGTCCTGGGCACTTCCTATCTGAATGGAGGGCCCCACGCACTTGTCGGGAACCACTACACACTGTCCCACACACACTGACCCCACACATTTTGGGGCTTATTATGTTGTCTAGAGTCATTACGCTGCTGATTGCCTTGGTCCTATATGTCCATTTGCCGGGCCAGTCTGATCACTAAGGAGCTTTCCATGTTTCCCTTGATCTATTTGCATTTCTCGTGGGACCTAACGCTGCCGTTGGGACGCTATCTGCTTCCATGCCTGGGCACTCTTGGTCGTTGCAGATTGTCCTCCAAGGATTCTTCCCATCCGCCCAAAAGGCTCAGCACGCGTTTTCCGGGGCCCCATATGCCAATGTTCACTCGGTTGCTCAGGGGCCCTTCATATTAGTCTCGTTTTTGTCGGCTTGCTTGGACGATCCTGTGCTGTTGATGAGGCGCATATAAGGTAGGGCAGCAAGACACCCGATGCTCAGGTGCCCTCTGTTTTGATCGGGGGCTCTTTCCCTTTTATCTCATTTGCGGAGGACTGTTCACTCCCATCGAGGTTCTTTCTGTTGGCCTGCCCGTGCACTTTTGATCGCACAAGGGACTCACGGTCTCGCATAACTGCGTTTCCTCAGAGGGTACGGTACGGTGCTCTGGCCGGGGCCTTATATCTCAGCCCGCCGGAGCAGTTCGGTCGTTTAGGGGCCCACCACGTTCTTCTTGGTTTCCTTTTGCTTGCTCTGAGGACCCTATACTTATTGAAGGGGGCCACTTTGTTAGCCTCCTGCGGCACCCAGGATCGCTCAGGTTCCGTCCCTTTTGGTCGTGGTGCCTTCGCCCTAGAGCAGCAGTCGGAGATGTCCCGATGATTTTTTACGCGCAATTGGCGAACGTAATTTTACGTGCCCCCGACAACGTGTCATTTCCAGTGGCTATTGAGCGTGTGACACTTAGTATACTAGTGCATCATATTTTTAACGTATTTTGAACGCCAAGATATTTTGTACTACTTTTTAACAAAGGAAAAATTGTGCATTAGTCATCTGCCATCAGCTGACTATGTCGCCCAACCGGCCAGCCGCAAATAAGCTAGGAATCAAGTCCCTGCTCGGTTTTGATGGTTGTTAGCAGTCAACTCGGGTTAACTTTGCCTGTTGCTCTGAAATACTTAGCCTCAAAATTACAGGATTTGACATAATCTGTTGAGCATGAATAAGCTCTATGAACATTCATTCGTAGTACGCCCAACTCTAGTGCTGCGCACAGCAAGATGGGTTTCCGTAATCGTCTCAAAATGTGCTAACCGGAATGCAATGACATTGTGTGACGGGGCCCCAAACTCTAGGAGCCTCAAACTCTATGGAGCCCCACAATGCTGCGTGCCCCTCGTTGACGAAATCCCGGATCCGCCCCTGCCCCAGCTGAATAGGAAGCTGCACCTTTAGGCTGGTTGTGTTAAGTATGCCTTTACCTGAATTCGATTGGTTTAGTCTCAACCATTTTTCAGTGTTTCATGGTCAGCAAATGACACTTAGGTGCAAATGAACTCACGAAACAAAAATGTTTGAAGGTTATGCTGCGTTGCATTTAATGCGCCTTTGTTCTTGTGGTTTATCGCATTAAGAGGTATGTTGCGACGGTTTGTGAAAGGTTTGACTCCAAGTGACAATTTGGACGGTTCCAAATATCGTTGATGACAGAAAAGGCACTTTTTTATCCTTGCAATCTCTGGCGGGTGTGTCGTGAGATAACGTGTGTAAAACATTGCATTCCCAACACATTGCAGTCCTGATACCTCAGTGCCTTCGTTCAGCTCGCCCGGGTTCGTCATGGACATCAGGAGCCCTGCTGTCTATGAATGATAGCTTGATTCCATGGCACATGTCTTTCTATGAACCTTTCTTTCTATTTGCGTGTTCCCCATAAAACCAAGCAGAAAGCGTAAGTGCGATGCACCGAATTTTCACGCTTTTTCACATCCTCCCAGAGTGCGCAGCGAAGTTGGATCAGATGGACATGAGAGGATTCTCCTGCACAATTTGCCAGTATTTAAGTTTTGAAACTGTGAGGTATTATTTACCTTTAATAGCCCGTTCGCTGCGTCTGAAATCAGAACAGCTAATACTAGGTGTTTAGGTGGAGACTGCCCGAATTCTTGAGCTTACACACCAAGAAACAAAAGTGAAAAATGTCGTAGTGTTAAATGTAGTAATGAACAGAGCGGTATGCACTTTGAAGAAATTTCAACTTTGGAAGCACAGAATACAAAGTGTCATAGCCTTCTACAATCCCCTTTTCTCCCATCCACCTCTAATGGCCCGATTTCCACAAAACCGTAAATTGAGGCACACGTCCTGCGACGGACACATTATTCAGTCCGACTGGCGGGGGAAGGTCAGCTGACAGCTGGACAAAGACGGTAGCCTTGCACGGCGCGGTCACGCCTTACCACCGCACAGCACCTAAATACCTCTGCAGTCTCGCCTGCTGAAAGGTCAGAGATAAAACCACGCGATCAATCGCATGTTTAGTGTTGTGTCGGCCTGTGTTGAGTGGCCGGCTCAGGGCACGAACAACGGCTTAGGTTCAGCAGCGATCCTGCTTGGCGGGGTTCTGAACTAAGTGCAAACTGGGGAGATAACTGCAAGAAAAGCTTTCTTAAATACAGAAAAACCTGCAGCTAAGCTCCAGCGTCATCTGACAATGTTAGATCCATCCTATCAAACACTAACCGGGTGCATCTGCTTTCTCTGTCACAGATGGCTGCTGTTGTTGGCGATGATCTTCGCAGAGCTTCAGCAGAGCACTGTGATGGCGAGAAGGAAGGTATGCGACGACAATGGTGTATGCAGTTATTGTTATCACACGGGGAAACATAAGCAACGCATCTTTTCCTTATCTCAGCCCCGATATAAAAGGCGGCCTGCGCGGGAATTCCCTAGCGGCGGGTGTCACGTTTCGCTTCGTCCGGTAATCTTAATCATGGAACCGGCAGCACCAACTTGCCATCAGAGTTGAATCACCTCGGCAGCGCTGGTCGATACATCGCCAATCCCAGTCGCTCCGTCCCCGTTGTCGGTCTGGCCTTGCTTGAGTGTGGCAACGTATGCTCTGCCCGCCTGCAGCACCGGATCCGCCATAACGTGCAGCGGCGGCTGAAGCGGCAGCAGAGCAGTCAAGTGTACGCCTACTCGGCCGCGCAGGACTCGGGCCCCTGGGGCATCTGGGGCACGCAGTCGCCCTGCTCTCGCTCCTGTGGCGGCGGCGTGGCCTTCCAGGTCCGGCGCTGCCAGGACGAGAGGTGAGATCTTCCAGGTCCGATGCTGCCGGGGTAAGAGGTGAGACCTTCCAGGTCTGACACTGCCAGGACCTGCCAAGCCCGGCGTTGTCAGGACGAGAGGTGAGACCTGCCAGGTCCGGCGCTGTCAGGACGAGAGATGAGACCTTCCAGGTCTGGCGCTGCCGGGGCGAGAGGTGAGACCTTCCAGGGCCGGCGCTGTCAGGACGAGAGGCAAGACCTTCCAGGGCCGGCGCTGGGCGAGACCTTTCAGGGCCGGTGCGGCCAAGACGAGAGGTGAGGCCTTTCAGGTCCGACGCTGCCAGGACCTGAGGTGAGACCTTCAAGGTCCGGATTTGTCGATGCGAGGGGTGTGATATTTCAGGTAGGTTCGGCGCTGCCAGAGGGAGAAGTAAGACCTCATAGGTTCAGCTGACTCAGGACGAGTGGTGAGGTGTACAAATAGCCTTCAACTATTTGTTCCGTTGCAACGTTCCATGTAAAGTATCATAGTCTAGTCCGTGGTAATTTTGTTTCTAAACTGAGAGATGGCGTATGTCAGGTCAGGCCGGGTTCTGAGCCTTGAGCTTTATAGAAAGGGTACTCCATGTCAGGTGCTGTAAGGCTGTATGACAAGAATATTTCGAAGTCGCTTGAAATGTTTACGTTGATCTCCGCCACTGGTGGAAATTTGGTAAACTTCCTCAGTTCTGCTGCGTAATTTCAGATTCACCTCCGTTTACACTTTACGCTTCACCAAGCACGTTGGTTTGGATTTATCACGTGCTCCTCTTCGTCCCGAGTGTGCTTGATGACACAGCCGATTCCCCTGATTGGTGGTGCAATCGCGTTGTGTTTTCTTGGGAGAAGGACCATTGGAAACTGTTAATCTGACATCCGACCTGACGGTTCCAGGCCAGATGGCTCGTCGTCTTGCACTGGACCAAACAAGCAGTATATCTCCTGCAACATTGAGGTGAGAAACACATACTCTGCTGGGCCGAGCGTTCGCGTGCTGGGCTGTCTGATATCTTGGCATGTGATTTGTTCCTTGATATTAAGTTAACCGGTTACATCGTAGATGACAGTGGAAACAGATCTGATATGTCATCTAGACTACTGCACAAAGTATAACCTTAAGCTCACATGCATACTTCGACGTTGATTTTCCAATCACTTTAACCCAATTCGCAGCTCGATAAATGCCGGGGACGGTAGTTCGATTTGATGCATGTGATTTCATAAGGGGCGGATTACTGGTAAAAGGGCATCTTGCTCCTTATACCACCCTATCGCAGTCATCACTTTCTAAATGTCCGAGACTTTAGCCATGTGATGCTCCATAGTAGCATGTCTAGACTACAGAAGGTGTCATTTCACGGAGTGAGTAACATATGTGACTCATTATTGGCAATGATTTGCTTCGGCTGAAATTTGCCACGATGCATTTTCCCAGATTATTTGCTTTTGTTCAGCTTGCGTAGAATGCGCGGATGCATCTGTGATCCGCTGACTGTCGTCGATGTCGAAGCCATGTCGTTGATGTCGGAGCCGTGTCGTTGATGTCGGAGCCGTGTCGCTAATGTCGGAGCCGTGTCGCTAATGTCGGAGCCGTGTCGCTGATGTCGGAGCCGTGTCGTCCATCCTGGAGCCGTGTCGTTGATGGCGGAGCAGTGTCGCTGGCGTCGGGGCCGTGTCGCTGATGTCGGTAATGTGTACCTGATGTCGGTACTGTGCCGCTTATGTCAGTATTGCATCGCTATGTTGGTGCTGAGCCGATGTTGTGACCTAATGTTGGTACTGTGTCGCTGACGTCGGTGTTTTATCGCGGATGTCGGTGCTGTGTACCTGATGTCTGTAATGTGTAGGTGTAATACACCTCATGTCGGTACTGTGTCGGTGATGTTTGGGCCTTTTCGTTGATGTCCATGCTGTGTCGCGGATGTCGGGGTACGACGGGGACCATGAGCGCGTGTTGGCGTTTCAGCCCTGCCCTGGAGGGTCCGGTGACTTGAGGGAGGAGCAGTGCACCGAGTTCGACAGGCTGCCATTTGAAGGACGCTACTACAAGTAAGACCGGATGTTGGTCGCTATGTTATGTTGGATGTGGCTGTAAATTTACTGTGGTATCACTTTCTGCACATCTTTAAAATGGCTTCTTCTGTCTTCCTCATTAATGCTCCCAAAAAGCAGGATGAGGTATAGGAAGTAGGAAGTGGGCATCACGTATGCTTGGTACAGCTGTAAGGTGCCCACATGCTACACAGCCATCACTCTCAGTCATATTTGTGACCTCAGCATGCCCCATGACCCTGATTCATTTGCCTTCGCAACATTTGAGCTCTGATGCGATGTTATAAATAGTTATTTTTTCATAAGCAACCTAGTCGAAATCGCCCAGGCGGGAATCTAAACCATTGTCATCATGACTTGAAAGTCTTTATGTTGAAGTAAGCACTTTCAATATGTCATGAGGTTCTGGATAGGCAATGTTGTACTGCTAAATGACGACGATATTGACAGTGCTCAATATTTCAAACTGTGCACATCCTTAAAGGCGACAAGGGTTCAAAAAGGCTCCGCGAAAATAAGCTCTTGGAAAACAAGGCATGTGAATCTTTAGAATGATGCCCGGAGCTGCTGCCCCTGTTGACACCGGACCCGGCCTGCGGCAGGTGGATACCGTACCTGAAGGCGCCGAGCCAGTGCGAGCTCAACTCCCTGTTGACACCGCCCCGGCCTGCGGCAGGCGGATACCGTACCTGAAGGCGCCGAGCCAGCGCGAGCTCAACTCCCTGTTAACACCGCCCCGGCCTGCGGCAGGTGGATACCGTACCTGAAGGCGCCGAACCAGTGCGAGCTCAACTGTCAGCCGCAGGGCGAGCGCTTCTACTACCGGCACAAGAGGAGGGTCATCGACGGCACCAGCTGCGGGCCCGAGGGCCTCGACGTCTGCGTCGACGGACAGTGCATGGTAACCGAGCTGGCGCCGACGCTGGGAGAGCCTGCCTGGCGCGGACGGCTGCCGTTCTGTGGTACGGCGAGCGACTGCAATCGGGGGATAGTTGATCTTGGTCCAGGGTGTGATAGCTTATAGGTCATCGTGTATCTCTTATTGCACCTGTTTCCTTTCATACCACTCGCGCAGCTTTTGACACCCTAATTCACTTCAGCAGCCATTTTTTCTAATGTTTTGTACGGTCCGACGGCATGTCTTGTCAGGCGTACTCGTAACTCAACACCCAGATGTTAGTTTTCCTGCCCATCGGATTAAATGGCTCTGTTCTGGCTACCAATGGCTATGGCGGGAATACGACACCGTGTCGAGGAATGCTACGACACGCGCGCCCGTGAGAGGTCGACGGTCGCGCCTCCTGACACCTTTACTGTCGATGGGACCAACCAGGCCACCTATTCCGGGACCCACTCGCTTTGCCGTGTAATTACGAGTCCAGCATCCATACGCCAGATCACAAATAAGACAGTGACAGTGACATTGGGTTAGGCTGATGCTCACTCACCTTGCGCTCATGCCCGGGGCTCACATCATCCCTACTCTCACCCTCACGTCCGATCTCACGGACCCCACTGACGCCATCTCACCGTTCTCACGATCACGCCTTGTCGCCAGCAAGTGGGCTGCGACCGCATGCTGGGCTCCACCGTGAAGGAGGACAGGTGCCGCGTGTGCGGCGGCGACGGCTCCGACTGCTACACCGCCCACGGTGTCTTCGACGCCGAGAACCTGCAGTCGGGTGAGCTGTGATCTGCCCTCTAGCTGGGATCTGCCCTCTAGCTGTGATTTGCCCTCTGGCTGTGATCTGCCCTCTAGCTGCGATCTGCCCTCTAGATTTTACCTGCCCTCTAGCTGTGATCAGCCCTCTAGCGGTGATCCGCCTTCTAGCGGTGATCCGCCTTCTAGCGGGCTGTAATACTGGTCGACAAATTGGACTGGAGGCCGGGTTTTTCGTGGTATACTTTTGTGACAGCTGCTATCAATTCCAGTTCAGAACGTTGATCATCTGCGGCTACAAACGCGACCTTCATCGAGAAACGAACTTTTGGCTGCCAATGTTCCACCGTAATCTACCTTCCAAGTCTCTTGCTTGGTGTGAGCAGCGGCGCGTTGGCAATGCTTCAAACGCGTCCTTTCCTCGGGCCACGGGAATGTCAAGTGGACTAGGGTGTGCGTCGGGGGTGGGGGGGGGGGGGGGGGAGATTCCCATTGCCATTTTAGACCGCCGGTGGTCTAGCGACTCACGTTTCTGTGACCTCCCCTAGGCTACAACGACATCCTGCTCATTCCAAAGGGGGCCACGAACATCATCATCGAGGAGATCAAGGCAACGAACAACTATCTAGGTATGCGAAGCCCGTTATGCTCCATATGCCCTCCATGTGTTAACCACGGCCATTATCTGTTCGCTTTTAGTATGCTTCTGGGGCTGGTCGTGTTCATAACATTGCTTGGAATCTTCTCAGGACTGTCGATGATGGTGTAGGTCTGCCCATACGTTGGTGAACAATGTTTGATGTTGAAAATAATCTCATTCAAACTCGAAACTGTCGCACTTTGGCCCGGTACACTAACAAAACGCAAGACCAATGCCCGGGGTTCGTGGCTACCTTTTACCTCTTTTACGTGCAATCGCATGGCGCGTTTCCCCAGCTATCCGGAATTCGACTGGTCATTACTACCTGAACGGCAACTGGCGGATCGACTACCCCACCACCATGGAGTTCGCGGGCGGCAAGGTCCACTACGAGCGGAGGCCACTGGGCTTCTTTTCCCCAGAGACCGTGCGCGCCCTCGGCCCCACCAGCGAAGCCCTCTACGTGGTGGTGAGTTGTGCATTGTACCAGCGAGGCTTGCCGTGGCTAACAGCAAGGCCTTCTGTGGCTTTCTGAGACCCTTGAAGATCTCAGAATCACCCTGGCGTGGTGGTGAAATCTGAAGTGTACCTCGAATGCCTTCTACGACACCGGTGGACGAGCACTGCTTGACACAATAACTGACACGCGGCTCTCCCCGTGGTGTTCGGTGATGTATTGTGCCAACGAAGTCCTCCACGTGGTGGTGGGCCATGATAACCGTGGCTATCTACGTGTTGTTTAGTAACGTACCGCCCCACCGAGACTCCCCGCAATGCCTTGAATTGTGCGCTCATTGCAGCGCCGTGGTCCTTCCATGTTTGTCTGAGTATTACACCAATAATACATCTAGTGCGTTGGAAGCTGCGTATTACACCACAGTGGCTCTGTACGTTACTGGAATGTACGCTACCACTGAGGCCATGGTTGCTGGAATGTACGCCACCACTAGGGCCATGGTTGTGACAGCAGACGCCCCAGTTTGCCGCCACAGACATGGTTAATGCTGTCACATGTCACAATTGCTGCCTAGATATGGAAAAGCCACCCACCCGCAGTGGTCCAATGCTTCCAGGCAGACCAGGCTCAGGATAGGTTGACGGCACTGTATCATCCCCGTACCTCTCTGTAACGATTCAGGCATAGGCTATTTGGCTATCACGTTGCACTGCCATTCTTGGTACTGGTAAATGTACGCGCTAAGTCAACATTATTCAAGTTGTTTTACTTCATTGTCCACACTGCACATGCCCGATAAGATTATGGGAGGCATTTGTCCCTAGCTCGAACGTGTTCATGCCAAACACCCTCATAACTCTTCCCTGCACACCGACGTTCATCCTGATCACCTGTCATTTGTCGGCCGGCACTTTCTGCACGTGACGTCGCACCCTCGGCCGCCAGCTGCTGTACCAGGAGCGTAACGCCGGCATCCGGTACGAGTACAGCGTGCCGCGGACGGTGGCGGACGCCGGCAGCTCCGAGTACTCGTGGGTGACGTCCGCCTGGTCGCCCTGCTCCGAACAGTGCGGCGGAGGTGAGCCCGCGCCCGCCTGTTCGTGTTCGTCTACCCATGTGGTGCGTTTCTATGGACTCTGCATACGTCGTGGCTGTCCTTAGCCTAGCGACAGCCGCTCTAATAAAGGGACGCATAGTAAAGCATACGATTTTGCTAGAATTCATGTATCGCCGCTAGTACTTAATCAATCGATAAGGGCACGCAAAATAAAATCAAGAGAGAATCAAGGCAGTCCCTGCGCTCAGGCTCCTCGGCTGCGATACTTCCACCGGGTCAGTCTATACCTGACATCCCCTTTGGACGGAGCCAGCGCCTAGAGTCGGCGGAAACGCACTGAAACAGCATCACAAGTGCGCGCCAGTGGCAGAATAGAAAGCTCACGTGCCAGCTGACACACAGTATCACATCGACCAAAACCACAGCTTACGCGTGTTGTTGTTTCCTTTCTTCAGCAAATTATATTTGTTCATTTTGAGGTGTTTCATTGTCGGCTGTACCATTGAGGTGCTATTGACAATAGCACGTGTCTGGCCCTAAACAGGTCAAAGAATAAGGCGCAGAGATACAGGTCGTCAATATTGGGATTTTGACCGCTTTGCAAGGTGTATAATCTTAGGAATGTAGCACAGCACACAAATAATAAAGATGCATCCGTAATGCGGTCTTGATTTGTCAGCAAATGTACTAGTCGTTTTTTGTAATGCCTGCAAACACAATAGGTTTCCTCCGGCATGCTTTACCTCATCTACGGGAAAGCGAGATATTGATTTACTTTTTTGCCGCTTTATACTAGTTCCTGTACTGTTCACGCAGTTGTTGCCCGTTTTGTGCAAGCTTATTAAAGCATCTCCACGAAAAAAACAAAACATTCTGATCTGAGAAGAATGCCCAGAATTCATCCACTGCATGCACCACCGACCATGTCCCGTCTTCGATGACGCTATAACTGCACGCCACTACGGAACTGTTTGCCATCTCTGAGGGTCTGCCGTGTCAATGACGCGACTCAGACCCGCCGTTCGGTGTTTGTATGGGTCAACAGGCAGCCACAGCCGCCAGCTGAGCTGCATCAGGAAGCAGGACATGCGGGAGGTATCGCCCGACCTCTGCGACCTCCTGACCAAGCCCGAGGAGACCGAGAGCTGCAACCAGCAGCCCTGCCAGGCCAGGTGCGCTTACTGCGAGACCAGGGAACTGCTGTGCTCTCGAGCATCTATCACGCGTGACTCCCCTGTTTGTGTATGTCCGCCGGACAGCCTGTCAGGCTTGGTGAGGGTGACGACTGAGGTGAACCTGGAGCGCGACAACTCGTGTCTGACGCCTACTACCAGCGTCAGAGTCACCGCGAAACAGTTCATGTGGCAACGTCTCGCCCCCTCCGCCCTTAAGCTGCCCTAAACTGACCTGTTCTGACCTACTTTGCCCCTCCATTCTCTGCCATGCCCCTCCGCATGCCCTTTGCTGTCCTACTCTGTCTTGTCTTACCCCACTCTGTCTTACCCTACTTTGTCTTACCCTACTCTGTCTTACCCTGATCTGTCTTACCCTACTCTGTCTTACCCTACTCTGTCTTACCCTACTCTGTCTTACCCTACTCTGTCTTACCCAAGTCTGCCCGCTCTTTCCTGTCCACGCCTAGCGTTGCCCTGTCCCCTGCCCTGCGCTGTCCTGACCTGACCCGACCTGACCCGACCTCTGCTCGCCTGCCGCAGCTGGAAGGTGGGCGAGTGGTCGGCCTGCTCGGCCGGCTGCGGCGCCGGCGGCGTCCAGTATCCGCCAGGTCACCTGCGAGCAGAAGGTGCAGGAGTCCGTCAAGGCCGTGGTCGACGACGACCTGTGCGCGCGCACGCTGGGCACCCGGCCGGCGCACATGCAGGAGTGCAACACCGACACGTCCGCCTGCCCCACCTTCCACGTCGGCGACTGGTCACCGGTGCGTGCCGCCGGCGTGGGTCTGGGAGCGGCGCTATTGGTCCAGCGGGCTGAAGAGCGCCAAATGCTGTGCGGATCTTGCCTGTTTACACGAGCTCCGAACACTCACCACGCGCACCCAATCTCACTCGCACCGGTCAAGCACAATACGCTCAGCTGATTATTGGGGTTGATGGGATTTATGCTTCGTCAACTGAAGACCTCACGGGCACTATCGCCGCCTTGATAGTTATTAGGATTCTGTATCACGGGGTGAGTTTTGTGACCTCCATGAGCTGCTCGGTCTGCCGTCAAGTGACACTACACATCATTTCTTGAGATGAGACAATTTTCCTGATATTTGCAAAATAAACGATGCAGACATTTCCTGACGTAGGTTTGTGCGTTCAAAATGGTGCTTTTTACCTGCAAATGGTGGTGTATACCAGAAAACGGTGTCGTGGCATGCCAGAATGATGGTACCTCATGTCACTGACACTTGGCCGTGCCCTCTGGCAGTGTGGCAGTCTGTGCGGGGAGGACGAGAAGAGTCGCCAGGTACTGTGCCACCGCGTCACTGACACCAAGACAGAGCTTCTGGACGCTGCCGAGTGCGAGGGTGACATGCCGAACGCCACTGAGCCCTGCATGCTCAGACCCTGCGAGGGCGTCGACTGGATCGCGTCCAGCTGGAGCGGGGTGAGCGTCCCTCTCCCCCTCCCCCCCCCCCCTGGTGGGGAGACTCCGACGGGAGATGAAGAGGCTCGTGGGCGCCACGACCGCCCGCACCGCCGGGTGGGCGTAGGAAAGCCGTGGGCCAAAGAATTCCTGTATGGTTTTCGCGTGGTACGAGGCGTGATCGAAAATCGTTTCCAGCAAATGATGTAAACTCAAACCAAATTTCCGCGGCTGGCCTCTCCATTCGACGGTGTTCGTGACATTTCAAACCGGTAGTCCCAGCACCACACCGCGGGGCGGTGTAAGTCAGCTACGAGTGCGCCGGCTGGGCGACAGTGTGCCGGAGCGCGGGACGGACTCAGACCTGTCTCCAGTGTCTCCACCTGAGCTCAAACCTGTGACCAGCGCCCGCTGTCAGCCTCGACGGCCGGACCGAGGCATCGCGACGCTAAATAATTTGAGATGTAAAATGGCCGCGCCACGCTTGTTAGCCCCCAACAGCGACGCACCTGGAGCCGTCTCCCGCACAACGCCAAACGCCACCCGTCGCCCGCCCCGGCAGTGCGAGGAGAAGTGTGGCCTTGTGACGGAGACCAGGAGTGTGCAGTGCGTCAACATGGAGGGCAAGGTGTACGCGGACGAATACTGCCAGAGCGGCCGCCGGCCGGAGACCGAGCAGGAGTGCCTGACCACCACCGTCTGCCCGCACAGCTGGTATGCCACCCAATGGAGTGAGGTGAGTGCGGGGACGCCGCCCTTCCGCGAGTCGCCCCGGTCAGCGGGGAGAGTAGCGCTAGAGCTGGGTTGGAGTCGGTCTGGAGACGAGGTTGATCATGTGTGTTTGTTCAACGGAAATGCGATCTGAAAAGGGCTGGTTTTGCTTTAAAAACTGAACAATATCTTGCGTACATGGATCGCGGACAGAACCTTCATACTACACTCCTGTACATTTTCGCTCTCCGTCATTTTCCCTCCCTCGCCTGAATGCTTGTTTTCCATGCCATCCATAATTTGCGATGTTATCATTGAAGTATTTTGCTTAGATCACCCTTTTATCTAACTTCCATCATTCATTATTTGTCATTCCATTGCTTGTCATTCACTCCTTTGTGGTCGTTCTTCAGCTGCTGATGTGGTGTGAATCCGTCATTTGGCTTCTGATATTACTGATACAGCAGACACCCGACTCCAAAACCACCACCTTACCTCCGGCTCTTGTTCAGCATCAGCCGTTCGCCTGATCATCTATGAAGAGCCTCCACCCAGGTCCGGAGACGCTGACCCCGTCGCCCCCGCCTGCAGTGTTCGTCCTCGTGCGGACCGGGCGTGCAGACGCGCCGCGTGTTCTGCGCCTCCGTCAACGACGACGGCCTGATCGTGCCCGGCGACGACGACCAGTGCGACCCTGCCAAGAAGTACGAGGCCTCGCAGCCGTGCGAGGGCGCTGAGGGCAACTGCGACGCCAGCTGGATGTCCGGCCCCTGGGGACCGGTGAGACGCCGCAGGGGTCGGGCAGCGGGGATGAGGGTGGTGTCCGCCACGCTTCAAAGACGGGGCGCTACCCTCACCTGCCGACGCACTTGTACGCTCAACCTCACAGACAGCCGCAGCCCAGCTGGCTCTGATCACCTCGCCTGTAATAATACCAGCCTTACAGCCGTGTTCGCAATGACACTACTTGAAGTCACACTGACTGGGTCCCAGTCAGGTGGACGACCACGCATCATTCTTACAGGCATTGCACTGGACGGAAGGAAACAGCACAAAACTGGACAGAATGGAACTGAGCACAGACCTGAACAGAATGGAGTCGCTGAGCTTAATGGCACTGAAACCCGACTTTACCATGGCATGACTGCTGCAGGGCTCCATATTTCACGGGCGATCCTCTCAGCCTGCTCGAGACCAGCATGCTCTGTGGCGTTCCAGTGCTCCAAGTCTTGTGAGAAGGGCTCGCAGTCGCGCGAGGTGTTCTGCACGGACGGGCAGGAGAGGGTCGACATCACGCTCTGCGACGACAAGCAGATACCGTTCGCCCTGCAGGAATGCAACGACATGGAATGCGACGCTGCAGGTCTGCATCTCGTCGCCTTCATCCGAGCTTTAACGGCATTACGCCCGCCACTCATCTGTTGCCTTTGTATTTAATGGTAGTTTCGCACTGCACACCGTAAAAAGAGGCCAGTCAAGGCTGTCTGCAGGCTGTAAGAACCATTTTTGAGATATTTATACGCTAACAGATATTAGTACTCACTGGAGTGTAGATCAAATAGTCTAACCCCGTGATCGGCTGGTTGGCTACGTAGCCCAGCTTTGTCTGTGTCTCAACACATCCTGTTTTTCACCAAATGCCGCGTTTCACCACTTTTTTGCCTCCCCATATTTCACTTCGTCCGGTGTCTAACCACCTCCTGTGTAATCACCGTAGGTGTCCTCTCACCTCTTGTTTCTCACCTGCTCCTATATTTCACCACCTCTCGCGTCCTTATTGGTCACATGTTTTACCATGCGCAATGTCTCCCCATGCATGGTTTCTCACCACGTGCCGTGTGGAGCCATGTCACAGGTCTTCGCCGTGCCTCGAGCCATGCCCTGTCTGAGCGCCTGTGCGTCGTGCCTCCTGCTACGTACCTCTGCTCCTTCATGTCCCGTTTTTACCGTATGATGCGGTCGTCTTCAGAGGAACTGAAGCAGCTGAAGGAGTTGGCGTCGCTGGCCTTCGACCCAAGTGCTCTGGACGACGAGTGTCCGTTGGACGGGGAATTCGTGAGTAAATGACGGGCTTGGCCCCAGCCTACACTCTGCACAGATAATGGTGGCAGATGACCGGGCTGAGGAGCGCGCCTCATGATTCCTTTAGTCTCGCCTACTTACGACGGTCGTCATCACTAGCACGTTCACGCATTCATGCAAAAGCGATCAATGCTAAGTTCAGCAAAGATATTTGTTCTTACTTTGTGCTGCGTCGAACTAACATCACTGTCACTGAGAACAGTCTCATGAACAGCTGGGTCCCATGATTACCCTTTCCATGTGCTGAATAGTGCACCATGCCAAAAGTGCACCGGTAGCGTTCATGGTGTCGATTTCCTTGCTTATGTCCCCCTTTGGCCGTGATTGAAAGACGATGCACAATTACGGATGATAATAATTTCAACTTTTAGGGTGCATCCACTGGAAATGATTATGCGGCGTTCATACATTTACTGTTCAAAAAGCATACGGTTACAGTGTACACATATATGTATATTGCTGTCCCGCTGGCTCAGTGGGTTAGAGCACCTGCCTTTTGCCTTATCCACTCCCATTTGGCGAAGCGGGTACAAGTCGCTCTAAGCGTCCACTATTTGTCCTTGACGGAAATGACCTGCGGGCGGGGGCAGCGGCCGTGCTTAAGGTCAGGTGACGTCGAAGGGCAGGCCGCGCCGTGCCGAGCATTGCGGCGCGGTTAACTTTCACCACCAAATTCTGCCGTTGATCCGGAATAACGCGATCTGATGGTAGGGGTCAGGCTCACACAACAACCTTCAGAAGGTTCGTATGTTAAACCTAAAAAGATGCCTGTCTGTTAGTGTGACTAATCCATTGAAACACGCGGAGACAGCATTTCATTAGTCTCGAACAATTATTTTTTAGCTAATTATCACTGAGGGTGCTCCCATTGCCGGCATTTTTAGGGACTGGACTTCCTGGGCAGCGGATCGGGCGACGGGTCCGGAGACATCTTTGGTTCCGGTGACGAGCTGGATGTCAGTTTCAACGACCTGCTCGGCCGCGCCCTGGACGCTCAGGCTGCTGATAGGGAGAAGGACTCCGAAGAGGCGTCGGGCATGGAGGATGCTTCAGAAGAAAAGGACTCAAAATCGTCCGAAGAGGACTCCAGCTCGTCCGAGGAGGACTCGAGCTCGTCTGAGGAGGGATCGGGCTCGTCCGAAGAGGAGTCTGGCATGGGAGAGGATATGTCGGGGGCAATGCCGGAGGATATGTCTGGAGAGATGCAGGATGTTATGCCTGGGGAGGTGGCAGAGGAGACCTCTGGAGATACTTCAGGAGATATGGCCGAAGGGATCGAGGACATGTCGGGCGAGGCACCTGTTGACGGCTCGTCTGAGGGCTCCGGCGAAATGGGCATGAATACGTCTGAGGAAGCGCTGAACGCGTCTGGCGAGTTTTCTGGTGACGCGTCCGGTGATTTCGAGGAAATTTCCGGAGCAGAGTCTGGCGATTCGGTGGAGGAGATGTCATCCGGTGATTCGGATGGTAAGCTGCCAGCCTCGGCCACTGAAGAGTCCCGTGTTAAACGCCAGGTGTCTGGCGCTCCGGCACCAGACACGCCACCTGAGGTCGAGGCTGGCGATGACCTGTCTGGAGACATGTCCGGAGACATGTCCGGAGACATGTCCGGAGACATATCCGGGGATGTGTTGGGAGAAGCGTCTGGTGACTTGTCGGACTTCATGTCTGGAGATATGTCCGGAGACATGTCTGGGGATGATGGTTCAGGAGAAGATACGATTGGGTCAGGAGAGGTGTCTGGAGACCTCCTTGACGACGATGGCATCAGCGGAGAAATGACGGGCAGTGGCGAAGGCAGTGGGGACATGATGGAAAGCGGAGACATGATGGAAAGTGGGGACATGATGGAAAGCGGAGACATGATGGAAAGTGGGGACATGGTGGAAAGCGGAGACATGATGGAAAGCGGAGATATGATGGAAAGCGGAGACATGATGGAAAGCGGGGACATGATGGAAAGCGGAGACATGATGGAAAGCGGGGACATGATGGAAAGCGGAGACATGATGGAAAGCGGAGAGATGATAGAAAGCGGAGACATGATAGACAGCGACGACGTGTCTGAAAGCGGAGACATGAGCGGAGAGGATGAAGAAAGCGGGGACGCGAGTGGAGATGACATGATGCAGAGTGGAGAAATGCCAGTGTCCGGAGATGACATTGATGAGCAGACAAGCGGGGAGGACGAGTCGGGCTCCGCTGTGGACTCGGACGAAAGCGGAGACCTTCCGGATGATTCGCCGGAGGAGAGCAGCGAGGAGGAGGGATCCTCCGACGCGAGTGGCGAGTCCGGTGACGACAGCGATGAGGACATGCTGGACGGGATGGACGAAATGGCCGGCAGCGGTGACCAACTGATGGACGGAAGCGCAGAAAAAGACGACGACATGATGATGGGCTCTGGAGACATATCGGGAGAAGGCTCAGCGGATGCCTCAGGATCTGGAGACTTTGACGGTAAGTGATAGTGTTCTTCAGCTTTATAAGAAGTCAACTCATTTGAACCCTTTAAAACTTAAGTACTGCACACCGACTTATGAAGAAAACATAAATACCAACGCATTTGTTGAATAGGTTTTGAAATTAGTTAATGCATCCGCATCATTTAGATATGCTGCAAATATTTCAGTGGTCCATCAGTATAACAAATGAATTGCTAATGAAGAAAACATGAATTCAATGCTATCGTCCCAACCGCCAGAGCCACTAACTCGGCAAAAGCTATCTGAATGCTTCCGCTTTGTATCTAAATCATTGTGCACGTAACGACTTCAGTGTAGCCATTTTCCGACATTGATGCAGACGCCCTGACTGGCCGATATGCACCCCTGTTTACTCTGCTTGCGTTTTCAGACCTTGAGCTTCTGCCACGCTTCGGTGAGAAGGAGGAGCAAAAGTCCAAGAAGAAGTGCGTGCCTCGGCCTGTTCGCATCCTGTGCGAGGCGACCGACTTCGGGTGCTGCCCGGATGGGCTGACTGCCGCCGCCGGCCCCTTCCTCAAGGACTGCCCGCCGGTAAGGAGCCTGCGACCGTTAGTTGTGTCCGCCGGAAACCTGCGGACAAACCAGCGAACTTGACTTCTTTGCCGAGGATCGTTGATCCATCGATCGTCGTGCTGGGGATCGCCATCGATTTCGCCTTTTGCTTTTTCTCTCTCCATGTTGTTAGGTGTTGATGTTAGCCATTTCCAACGTACACCCCGCAATGACGGCCACGGTGAGAGGAGTTCCGCGCACCACAAGGGCCACTCCATGTTGTTAGGTGTTGATGTTAGCCATTTCCAACGTACACCCCGCAATGACGGCCACGGTGAGAGGAGTTCCGCGCACCACAAGGGCCAGGAGTAACAGCCTGTTGTGACCGGTACCGCACGGTGTCGCGGCAGCTGGACAACTGCCAGAAGACCAAGTTCGGCTGCTGTCCGGACCGCGTGACGCCAGCACAGTCGGAGGACGAGAGCGAGTGTCCGCCGGTGGCCGACTGCAGCCGCTCGCTGTTCGGCTGCTGCCCTGACGAGTTCAGCGAACTCTCGGGGCCCGAGGCAGACAACTGTCCCAACGTCACCCGAGAGTGCGAGATCAGCAAGTGAGTACGCTCGTTTTGCCGCTTTCTGCAGGTCTCGTCTTACTTCCACGGTTTGCCCAGTAGGTGAAAAGTAGGCGGCGGCCGATGTCCTTGCGTAGACGCAGGCGTACCCCTGCGGCTAGCCGTGTGCACATATGGACGAGTGGTTGCGGTGCTTGGGGAGGGGAAGGTTTGAATACAAAGTTGGGTCTCGGATGCCATCCTATGGCTAAATCTGTCTGAGAAATCAGACGGATGAAAGCGTAATACTAAGTCCAGTCTCCGGACCCTAGCTCTCACCGCTAGCGAGGAGCGAGTTGTTGACCCACCTAATGCGTCCGGTCAGGTTCGGATGCTGCTCCGAGTCGGACGACCCAGCTGAGGGTCCGTTCGACAAGGGCTGCCCGGAGAAGGACACCGAGGCGCCGGCTGTCGATGATGAGGACAAGAAAATGGATGACGCCAAAAACTGCACAGACACACCGTAAGCTATCTCTCGGCCGTACCACCGCTTCCATCGGCTACGCATGCTTTCGTGACTATAAATTACATCACTGTGGAACTCCCTGGCTTTTCTCCTAACCCGGGCAATCCATTCAGACTGTGGCACAATCAGTCAGTCGATATCCCACGAAAACACTGGAGGCCTCGCAGACGGCCGGCGGACGTTAACGGCGACGATCGACGGCGGCGGCAGCCCCGTGGCGCTCCTCGAGGCGACTCGAGTCCTTAACGTCTGTCACACGTGCACGCCAGGCACGGCTGCTGCGCGGACGGCACCACGGCCGCGTCTGGCCCCAACGGCGAGGGATGTCCGGCAGCCTGCCTCAGCTCCGAGTTCGGCTGCTGTCCCAACGGCTTCTACCCGGCGCACGGCCCCAACCAGGAGGGCTGCTGCCTCAACACCAAGTTCGGCTGCTGTCCTGACAACATCACGCCGGCCAGTGGGACGGATCTGGAGGGTGAGGTGCTAGTGATGGTGCCATCCGCCAACACGTGCCGCTTACAATTCAAGTGACGTTAATTGTGTGATGCATCACCGCTATCCTGATTGGCTACATTGGGGATGACCTGACGCGTTTGCGTTGCATGTCAGGTTTATGGCTAGGCCGCTTGAAATCTTCTCAGGAGATGGCGGTTACAGCCAACCGTATTCGGCACAGTGACATTATGAAACTCGTATATCTAACCCTTACTCTGTTTCCTTTGGTTTTTTCAATTGCACATTCCCACATCTCACTTTCTTTCTCGCACTCTCTCCTCCCTCTTCCCACCTCTCGTCCTGTGTCTGGCCACTCACGTGGATGGTCGCTTGCCCGGCGCCTCAGGCTGCGGGTGCGAGTACTCGGCGTTCGGCTGCTGCCCCGACAACCGGACGCTGGCGCGCGGCGAGGCGCTGGAGGGCTGTGGTTGCCGCTACACCGAGCACGGCTGCTGTCCGGACGGCTACACGCCGGCTGCCGGGCCCGACAGCCTCGGCTGCGGTTGCCACACCTTCCCATACGGCTGCTGCCCCGACGGCCAGACCGTCGCTCGTGGCCCCAACCAGGAGGGTGAGTCCGCCGCCGGACCGACACGAACGGCGGCCCCAACCAGGAGGGTGAGTCCGCCGCCGGACCGACACGAACGGTGACCCCAACCAGGAGGGTGAGTCCGCCGCCGGACCGACACGAACGGCGGCCCCAACCAGGAGGGTGAGTCCGCCGCCGGACCGACACGAATGGCGGTGTGGCCGTGTGTTGGGTTCCTGAATTGTGTTCCTGAATCATGCATGTGGTTGAATAAGAAAAGGCATTTTCAAAGATTCCTTGTGGCTAAACCACTTATTTTCCTCGACTGTTTGTAATGTGAAGTAAACCAGGATGAGTTCAATACATCCTCCATCTCGCGCCCGTGTGGCTTATCACGCACTCACTGTGTCTCCACTACGCATGTTGTCATTGGCTTAAAATCCCAATAAAGAGTAGCCGGCGTGTTACATTTGCATTTTCCGCGGGTTGTGAACTGTGTGTGTGTGCTTTTCTTCTCGATCGGCTTTAATTCAAGCCATTGGAGGCTATCCCTCTGCTCCCTCCCGCTCAGCTGCAAGCGTCACACACCTATGCACGCGTCGGCCGCAGCTCTCCCGCCGCTCTGTGTGATCCCGCCGCTCTGTGTGACACTGCCGCTCTGTGTGATCCCGCCGCTCTGTGTGACCCCGCCGCTCTGTTTGATCCCGTTCGTGCCGTTTCAGAGTGCGGCTGCGACTACGCCGAGTTCGGCTGCTGTCCGGACCGACGCACGCAAGCCAGCGGGCCGGGCTACGCCGGCTGCGGCTGCGAGTCGTACCCGTACGGCTGCTGTCCGGACGGCGAAACAGAGGCCACCGGACCCAAGTTCGAAGGCTGCGACGACAAACCCAAGGAGCCGGCAGGTCTGACTGCCCGACCGCCGACCGCGGTCCTGAGCTTTGGTTTGAATGTTCCTTAGCTGCGTCGGTGACCCTTTGCCTTCAAAAGCGCTTCACTGATTACAGAGCGTCTGACATAAAAGCGTCTACCAAAAAGTCGATCCGCTGCGAGGCCATTTTTCTGGCGTATGTCTGTGCTGTTGAGGGCGTGAACGCTCGTGTGCGGGCGCGATGGGGGACCGTCCTCTGGTCAGAAGAACTCCTAGAGGCCTTCTTGGCGTGTTCAGGCTTGATTTGACAAGTCCTAAAATCCCAATGGAGTCATTCCATGCTACAAAATGCAGCTGTGCAGCCTCGATGTACACACTGAGTGTTCGCCGCGTGACTCATGGCAGTGTGGCACCACCCAGTCCGACACCAGACCGACCTCCACCGAAGGCCCACTGACATGGCACGTGGCCCGCAGAGATCTGCGGCATGCCCAAGGAGCGTGGCTCCTGCCGCAACTTCACCGTGCGCTGGTTCTTCGACATGGAGTACGGCGGCTGCTCGCGCTTCTGGTTCGGCGGCTGCGACGGCAATGACAACAGCTTTGAGACTCAGGAGGACTGCAAGGCACTCTGCGTGGAGCCCGAAGGCATGGGTGCGTGGGACGTTTTGGGTGGGAGATCCCAATGCAATCGTTTTCTTATATTTCGTTACATTTGTGTTCGCTGTATTTGCAATACTCTTATTCCAACTAATGTTTGGAATATTGCTTAGGAGCTAAGTGTGTGACCATTTGTTTCTGGCACTTAAGCGTAGCATTTGAATTGGATGATCGTCCTTAGAGAGCTGGAAACATCGCGAAACTAATAATATGTATGCTCTACCTTCATTTATTTTACTTTATCTGACACAGATACCGCATAAGCCTAGTACAGCAAACTTAGCCCTGCGTGGCGTTCGGCAATGATAAGAATCTCTCTTTGCTCTGCTCACCGTTCGTGCTATCGTCCGCACCTGTGAGCTGTGTCGACTGACCTTGCCTGACCCCACCGGCGTGCCTCAACAGAGGCGTGCCAGCTGCCGGTGGTGAAGGGCGCCTGTGACGGCTACTATCCGTCTTGGTACTACAACCGCGAGCGCAGCCGGTGCGAGCCGTTCGTCTACGGCGGCTGTCTGGGCAACGGCAATCGTTTCGCCACGGTCGAGGAGTGCGAGAACGTCTGCGTCGTGCCTGACACCCTGGGTAAGCTTCGGTCGAAGAGTGCGAAAACGTCTGCGTCGTGCCTGACACCCTGGGTAAGCTTCGGTCGATGAGTGCGAGAACGTCTGCGACGTGTCTGACACTCTGGGTAAGCCTTAGTCGGCGCAGTTGCTGCAGCTGATCTTAGCAGAAGTTCCCCATGCCAGCTCGCTCAGGACTTGTCCAAGAGACGTCGGGACTCGCTGTGAAGCTGGCGGAGCGAGTGCGGGAAATGACTGACCGTTGGCGTTGGGTGTCTGTCACAGATCCGTGCGAACAACAGGTCATGCCTGGGCCGTGCCAGGGCAACATCTCGCGCTGGCACTTCGACAAGGAGTCTTCCTCGTGCAAGGAGTTCATCTACGGAGGGTGCAAGGCCAATGAGAACAACTTCCTCACCAAGGAGGAGTGCACGCACCGTTGCGCCAGGGCCGGCCGGAAAGGTAAGCACCGTTCAGGATAACTCCCACCTACGCGCCCCCTTAGCACGCTTGGGATAACTCCCACCTATACGCCCCCTTAGCAAGCTCGGCATAACTCCCACCTACGCGCCCCCTTAGCAAGCTCGGGATAACTCCCACCTACGCGCCCCCTTAACAAGCTCGGGATAACTCCCACCTACGCGCCCCCTTAGCACGCTCGGGATAACTCCCACCTACACGCCCCTTTAGCAAGCTCGGGATAACTCCCATCTACACGCCCCCTTAGCACGCTCAGGATAACTCCCACCTACGCGCCCGAACGGAGTGAAGATAAATTTCAAAATACTCACCAGCTTGGTGTTGTGGCTGTTGGTTAGATCCTCAAATTACCATTACCGTTAGTGATATCCACGAGCTATTGATGTGGTCAATATAGCATCGGCGTATTTAATTCTAACGGCGCGCGTTACCCAGGATGGAATATCTGCCGCTGCAACTCTCACTTAAGTTCGTCAAACACAAAAATTATTCGCCAAAATTTGCAGTGACTTGCTATGATGATATGAGAAAAAGGATGATTGAATTGAGTTCCTCGTGGCCAGCCAAAACTTTACAGCTCTCATGCCATGCCTGTCTGATCATACAGTTGAATTACAATCTGCGTCACAAATAATCGCAGACAGTTTCTACACATGCGCCGTTATTTTAGTAACATAATACATGCACAAGGATTATGTCACGTTTATTGATATCGTGCGCGCATACAGCATTATCTTGAAAAAAATAATCATATACATACTACAATTATTTCTTTGTATGTGCGGACACAGCGTGGTAAGCACACATCTATTACACCACGCCGTTATTTCGCCGTGTTATCTGTGCAATGTTGGGAGGCGGCAGCGCCTGTCATGAGCCACCTGGAGTCGGCCGCTCATTGACCACCGCCTGGTCTGCGGCAGCCATCTGCTCCCAGCCGCGTGCCGAGGGCTCGTGCGGAGAGTCGCTGCCGCGCTGGTACTTCGACTACCAGGAGAGCCGCTGCTCGCCGTTCTACTACACCGGCTGCGGCGGCAGTCTGAACCAGTTCGACAGCGAGGAGGAGTGCGAGGAGTCGTGCCCCTCACACGTCTACGGTAGGCGGCGTTGCGATCGCCGGCGCCCTGGGTCAGGCCGCCGTCGCAGCTCTAACGTGAATGTGACGTTCGGTGGTGTTTATCAGCATGGAGAGACGTGTCCACGGACAGCGGGCGCTAATTGGTGACTGCGGATGAACCACGGGTCATGGCCACTGATCTTAAAGGTCTTGAAAGCTACTGATCTCTGGCATGCTATGTGGTGCCACTGCCAGGTGGTTTTAAATTGTACAAAAATTTAGCCAATTGGATAGGTATTTTAATGTCTGCAATGGCGTTTCCTCGGGGCACAGCTTAGTGATAGGGTGTGTACTAGATCAAATGCAGCGATCAGCATTTTAGCTCTGAGTACTGCTGGCCGAACTGCAAACAGATGCAAGCGCCAGCGGCACATCTTGCTCAATATAACCTCGCGATGATCATAACTATTCGAGAACTTAGGGAGCCACAGAAGTTGCATAGGCATCTTGACACTGTGATGCACGACGCTTGTTTCTGGCCTGTCGCTGTTGTTCTCTAAGCCCGCACTCTCGCTTCCTCAGCGGCCGAGGCCTGCACGGAGAAGCAGGACCCAGGTCCCTGCGCCAACTACACCATCCGCTACTCGTACGACCTGCAGGACGGCCGCTGCAAGCCGTTCTACTACGGCGGCTGCGACGGCAACCGGAACAACTTCCGCTCGGATGAGGAGTGCCGCGACAAGTGCGAGGTCCGCAAGATCGAGACGGAGCGACCCCAGTTCCGCACGGGTCAGTGGCGACGGCGGACGCTGCGCTTGCCACGCCGTCAGCGGCGTCCCCTGTGACTATCGCGCAAGTGCTGCACAAGATGCGGTGGCGGCACCAGGTGTCTGTGTGTGTCCGACAGGCCAGGGGTATACTTCCCTGCATAGCTTCAGCCCATGCAGGAGGACGCCGTCCGAGCATGAGATGTTCGATTATTTAAGTGACAACGACCGCACACCATGCGAGACGGTTTCAGCAGGTCTCTGGCAAAACCGACGGCGTTAGAGAGGATCGTCATGCTGTTAAGAGTGTCGGCCGTCAGTTCGGCTCAGCTGCCTGATAGGGTCTCCCCCTCCCATTACTGACGGTGTGCCGGTACCTGCACGGACTCTGTTTCCCAGTCAGCCCATTTGTGACCCAGTCGACCCCTCGACAGAGTCGTGTTTCCTGCCGGGCGACGCCGGCTCGTGCGGCACCGCCTCCTCCCCCGAGGCGCTCTGGTACTACGACGCTCGGGTGGGCGTCTGCACCCAGTTCCTCTACAGCGGCTGCGGCGGCAACGAAAACCGGTTCCGGACGCGCGACGAGTGCCGCCAGCGCTGCGGCGCGGCTCAGGGTGAGCCGGCGGTTCTCGACCGGCGAGGCCGGCGTCTTGGGACCAGCCTTGTGGTGCTCTCGCGCGACTGGCGTGCAGCATATCGGGCTGTTTTCATTCTTTTAGAAACGAGGACATACCCATTTGAGTTTGACGCATCAGGTGTCCTGTGCGGAAGAAACATTTGGTACGCGAAATGTGAAGCTATGCTGTTTGTACATCCACCCGCGTGGCTTGCTGAGTAGCAGCGTGAATTGAGGGCGGCGTGAATTGAGGGTGAATTGAGGGTTCTTTCTAATATTTGAGTCTTTGAGCTTTTTACCATACGGTTGCCAAGGAAAACAGTCGTCCAACCCGTCAGGAACCTTGACGTGTAAATCCCTGACCCAGGCCACGTTCAGACGCCCCTCGGTGGCCGCCATTTTGACATCCTCGGCCTGCGAGGAACTCACAAAACCGCTGAAGCGGTGTGTGACGCTCCCTGACCTACCCCGGGTGCGTCACTCACGCTGGCAGACGTCTGCACCCTACCGCGCGTGGTGGGCCGCTGCTCTGGGGCGTTCCCTGACCAGCCCCGGGTGCGCCACTATCGCTGGCAGATGTTTGCACCCTGCCGCGTGTGGTGGGCCGCTGCTCCGGCTCCCTGCGCCAGTACTACTTCGACGCGCAGCGCGGCCGCTGCCTCGAGTTCGACTACAGCGGCTGTGAAGGCAACGACAACAAGTTTGACAGCCTGCAGGAGTGCGCGAGTCGCTGCGGTGGCCCTGCGGAGGAGCCGCGGCCCGAGCCCGAGCTAGAGACGAGGGACAGACGGCCCGAGCAGGCCACGCCGCCGCCCGAACAGAGGCCCGAGACGAGGGACAGACGGCCCGAACAGGCCACGCCGGCTCCCGAACAGAGGCCGGAGACGAGGGGCAGACGGCCCGAGCAGGCCACGCCAGCTCCCGAACAGAGGCCGGAGCAGGAGCAAGGTGAAGGACGACGCAACGATCTTATACTGCCAGCCTAGACGTAGTTGATGTAGCAGTCGGGCACGAAAGTAGTGTCCGGTTTTTATAGTCTCTTACAGTCTTCAGTCTATCTCGTCACTTAATCTACAAAACACGTTGACTTGACTCATATTAATAGAACGGGCTACAGCCGTAAGTGACCCTGAACCTGAACTGACCTAACCCTGGAGGCACGGCGGGTCATGGAGGCCGCGGTGCTGTGGGCTGCCAGATCTGCTGCCGACCTGCGCTCGACAGTACGACCCTGGTCCTGCTGGACGCTCGTGAGCGCCTGATTCCGCAATTGCTGGACGGGCCAGCTTGAGCCTGGGCTTCTTTGCCTCTCCTCTGTTCTTTTGAATATTTGTATCAGTTTCAAGTCAACGTGTTTTGTGTATGGTCACTGTGCTCCAACCCGGACAAGGGTTAAACTATTAAGCGAAAGATCTCTGGACCTCCTTGTTCATGCTACAACAGCCAAATTCTGTTAGCATCCTTCTATGCTTTTCGTGTGCAAAAAAATGCTGCTCTGTAGCACGGAACTAACTGCACATAACTGCATCGTCGCAAAGTGACGCATTTAAAAAGGCACCGTGCGACCAACCGCTTCTAACGAGCTCGAGAGCATGCAAACCCGGTGACCAGACTGAGTGTGCAAGGCCTGTGTATCACCCACCGCCTTCGAGTGACTAACACCAGCTGCTCAGCGAGCACGCGAGCCCGCTGGCCAGCCCGTCGCGCCCGGCCCTGTTTCTCACTGAGCCCTCGGTGCCGTGGTCCGCTAGATCTGCCGCCGGTGTGTGCCCAGCGGTACGACCCGGGCCCGTGTCGGACGCCCGTCAGCGCCTGGTTCTACAGCGCCGACATGAAGCTGTGCAGGCAGTTCACGTACGGCGGCTGCCGCGGCAACGACAACAAGTTTGTCAGCCAGGAGCAGTGCAAGCGCACGTGCGCTGAGTACCGCGGACAGGGTGGGTGTTGGCACTGCCCGGTGCCGAGAACAGGATGGGGGTCAGTGATTTTGAGCAACGCAACAACGCAGACAGGCTGCGCGTTGGTGTCGCTGAGTGCCGCGAGAAGGGTGGATTTTGACACTGCCAGGTACCGCATACGGGGCATTTGGTGCTGGGGTGTTCCACAGAACCTCGGATGGATGCTAGGGTACACCACGGTAGCCCGGGTAGGCGTTAGGGTACTCCACAGTAGCTCGGAGAGGTGCTAGGGTACTTCACAGTAGCTCGGGGAGGTATGGACGGGTACGGGTTTAGGATATGGGTGAGGTGAGATAAGCCGCGGCCACGGCGTTCGGCAGACCCAGTGCATCTGTCCTTTGCGCCTCTCGTCTCCGTGCTAGCAGGCATCAGGCTGCAGAGATCAGCTGAAGATACTCGGGAGTGCCACATGTCTGGGCACCAGCCAGAGATATTTAAGATATATGAACCAGGCACATGTCAGAGATACTGTCATGGGCACCCTTTTCCTGCGGTAGACCGTATTCGCGAACTCCGCCTAATGGCCATAGGCCACGCGAGCTTGTGATCTGCGTCATACTGTTGGTCCGTTACTTAGTGCCACCACTGGGCTGATTTAAGCATGCGCTTGTGACCGCATCTATGGGTGAAGGCGTACACTACCTTGCGCATTCAGTTTTTTACGGGTCGAACCGTCGTGTCGGGACATCAATGTGAGCCGGCGCTACCTAAAATCCAAGTAAGTCGACAACTTCGCTACCGTAATTCACGACGCCTGCATCGTTGTGATGGCTGCCAGCACTGGTGTACCCATGCACGTACATGCAATGCATGCTCCGATGCGTGAGTGTCGAACAGCGACGCCTGGTCGGCGGATGCCGCGACGCCTGGTCGGCGGACGCCGTAACGCCTGGTCGGCGGATGCGTGACGCCTGGCCGGCGGATGCCGTGACGTCTGGTGCGTGCGCCGCAGACGCCTGCAGCATCCCACCGTCCCCGGGCGACTGCGGCGGCAGCGAGACCAAGTGGTACTTCGACTACCGCGACGACACCTGCCGGCCCTTCGTCTACACCGGCTGCGGTGGCAATGTCAACAGGTGAGGCGCGGCCACGGTGCTGACGGAGGCCGGTAGCGTTCCGTGACAGCGCTATCGTTATTAAGTAGACTTATGATCCGTATGTTCATGGATACTCGGTTTCTGTACGATCAATCCACACCATACCATTTGCCCATTATGTACTGCTGCGAAGCTTTCAAAACATAAAGGCTTAATGGACTACAGCAGATAACGGTCAATTTTAGGATTTTTTGGAGTTAGCGGTCTGTAGACATTTATAGGGAATGATCCTACTGTGTGTTTATTTAGCATAAATGAGATATGAATGTCACCGGCTCGATGGTGTTGCTAACCCCGATTCATACGCAGGTTCTCCACGGAAGAGGAATGTCAATCACTCTGCGTGGACGGCAGCGAGCAAATGGTTCCAGATCTGGAGTCTGAGAAGGATACAAGTAAGCCTTATGTACCTTGTCAACGAGACATCTGCCACATCTATTACCACCCCTTTTGTTTTTCCAACACAGGCTCGTTGGTGTGTTTCGTTTTTAAAGCGCGTGAGGGGCGGTTTTACGTGCCATTGTGATGTTTGCCGTTCTCCATCAACAGTGGACGTTGATGTTGGCCTTTTCTGCTGAGACGGTTTCTGACATGAAATTGCTGCTGATTAATACCACTTCATCTCAGGTCATTTACAAGGATTTGTTGTGCGCAGGAAATGTGTGAGCTCCATGGGCTTACGAATGGCGGCTCACCGTATGCACTCGGGTCGCGACGCTTTCCAGGCATGATCGAAACAAAGGCCGGACCGCCACCAGAAGCCAGCACCCCTGAGAGTCCGATCGCAACGACGGCGGCCCCCACGGAGGAGGCGGCCCCCCAACCGGTCACCACCGGCGCCCCGGTCGACTGCTCGCCCCACCAGCAGCAGTGTCAGACGCTGCGGGTCAGTGCAGTGCCGGAAACTGCAGCTCGCCACAGCTGTGTTGCTGAGCGTGACTATCCAACGGTCTACTGTCTCCACCCATCTGTTACGGGCCTCAGCCGCGACCGGCCTGTCTTTGTTCAATGTGTGTTGCCCACGTACCTTTTCGCCATTTGGCGGTGCTCACCAGCGCTTGCTCACTTCGTCAATCGGCTCCATGTTCCCTCGCGGCTTCAGTTCACTCCGGGCTGTTCATGCTTGCTCACAGGCTGAAGCGTATGACAACACACACAGCATTTATTCACCCTGGCGTCCACGGACAAAATCCGAGCGTTCACACATCCTTTAAAGTAAGCTACGCACAATGCCAGACAAGTGTCAGCGCGTCCCTCGTTGCGGACAGCGCTAACTGAATACGATTACAAATATTAATAGCCCAGCGTGTCACAGGGCCCTAACCCCTTCCTCACCGTCCAGTATCCGTTTGGCGTGGAACGGCGTACGGACGACCAGCGGCATTAGCCCCCTCCTCACCGTCCAGTATCCGTTCGGTGTGGAGTGGCGCACGGACAGCCAGCGGCACTAACCCCCTCCTCACCGTCGTGTCCGTTCGGTGTGGAGCGGCGTGCGGACGACCAGCGGCACTAACCCCCTCCTCACCGTCCAGTGTCCGTTCGGTGTGGAGCGGCGTGCGGACGACCAGCGGCACTGACCCCCTCCTCACCGTCCAGTGTCCGTTCGGTGTGGAGCGGCGCACGGACGATCAGCAGTGCGAGCGCTGCTTCTGTTTCAACCCATGCCGCGAGGTGCGCTGCGGTGCCGGATACCGCTGCGCCATCTCCTACGGACGCGACGAGGAGGGTGGTCTGCTCGTCAGCGCCGTCTGCCGTCCCGGTGAGCCAGTGTCGCAAGCGGAGCGGGTGACCGCCGCAGGCTAGATATGCTCCAGTAAGGCGCTGTTGCCGGTGCTGTCGAGCGCCGCCGTCTCTGTGGTGGGTTGCCGCGGCGTTGGATCTACTCCAGCGCGCTCCTGCTGTGGAGCGATCCTGCTGCTGTGGATGGCACCAACTAAGGAATGTTGTTGGCAGCATAGGGTAGAGATCCGTAGTTACCGATGGTTCAATAGGCTCGCCAGATTGCTAGTCCGCGACTGGTGCAACTGGCACCACCCCGCATGGCGGTGCGTCACAAGCCAGTTCGGCCTCTATATTGAAGAAAACTACCGTATTTTTCTGTTCTTGAACAGCCGTCGCGATCAAGTTCTTGTTTTTATTCTGTTTTTATTGTCCGTGTCAGGAAACAAGACTGGCGAATGCACATCACCGAACACAGTGGATGAATGCGGCGATGCCAGAGACGGCTGCAGGGATGATGCAGATTGCCGGAACAACCTCAAGGTATGCCCACATGCTCATGTGCATGCCCTTAACTGCCTGTCAAAGAACGTGAAAGGGATCGGCACCAATGGCGCCAGCCTGAGCTAGCTTCGATTTTTGTGGCAATGCTGCGGGAGCGGTTGTTTGACGCACCGCAGTTCCGCTGCTCTGCACGTATTTTGCCGTCCACGGCGACTGACAGTCTGCCGGCTCCACCGTATGACGCGCAGTTAGCGGCCATTCGTATTTCCACTGGGCCGACGTGTTGTTGCAGTGCTGCTCGGACGGCTGCTCCCTGCGCTGTCTGCCGCCGGACGGTGAGACGGAGGTCATCGTCAAGGAGACCAGCGTCCTGCCCTCCACCACCACCACCATGACCCCGGTTACCGAAGCAGAGGTTAGTCAATTGCGCCACGCGCTCGACCAGAGTTGCAACGCGCTGGGGGTCGTTATCAAGCCCAGGTTTGTACAGGCTTTAGTAGATGTGGCCTTAGATCATGAACGTCTTGATCCTTACGACCATTCAACAAAGACGCGTCAGCAGGCACATCGGTTTTCGGGTTTGGTGAAAATCGTTTTGGGCAACGTCGGGCTTTCTGGTCGCATACACCGCATTGCATTTGACGCCTTATTTGGGACTTGTGCGGGTTTTGGTCGCAAGTTTTTCGCTGAAGGTGTGGCCCGAAATGTCGTGGATTTCTTTACAGGCGACTGACATGTGGCCCGATGCCACGTTCATGCCCACCGAGCTGCCATACCCGGTGCCAACTGCTGCTACGCAGCGGCCTTACCCGACGTACCCACCGTACCCGACGTACCCGCCGAGCCCCAGGCCTCCTGTACAGCCCCCCAGGGGCCGGGAAGGTCAGTGACGACGGCCCACGACTGGACCTGTCTGGGGCTGGCCGATGTCGGCGCGCTGACCAAATACATGTGGTCGCTTGGCTTTTGTTCAGGTTTGTAGGTGCACACTCTGCTTCAACCCTTTCAATTCCGTTTTGCAAATGTTCCTTGCTTGCTCTGTCGTTTATTGTCTTAAAGACTTGTTCAAGTTACAATCTATGCTGTGAGTAGCACTATTCGCATTTTCTATGATACCATCACGCTCCGACAATATGGCTGTTTACAGGGTCTCCAGCCCGCATCGTTCAGTCGGAGCCCGAGGTGGAAGTTCACGAGGGAGAGCTGGCTGTTCTGAGCTGCATCGCGCAGGGCGAGCCAGAGCCAGTCATCACCTGGACTCACGGTGCCAGGAGGGTAAGCTGCCGGACACTTGTGATCGTCTGGGACAGTGCTGTCGGCAGATAATGCGCCTTCGCCGAGCCTCCATCATCCGGGACGGAGGCTCAGCGCCGGCTGTGCCGCTCAGAGCCTGGCGCAGTGACTGAGCGCCGCGCTGTCGGCCAGGTGGACACGAGCCGGCTGTGCCGCTTGGAGTCTGGCGCAGTGACTGAGCGCCACGCTGTCGGCCAGGTGGACACGAGCCGGCTGTGCCGCTCAGAGTCTGGCGCAGTGACTGAGCGCCACGCTGTCGGCCAGGTGGACACGAGCCGGCTGTGCCGCTCGGAGTCTGACGCAGTGGCTGAGCGCCGCGCTGTCGGCCAGGTGGACACGAGCCGGCTGTGCCGCCCAGAGTCTGACGCAGTGACTGAGCGCCGCGCTGTCGGCCAGGTGGACACGAGCCGGCTGTGCCGCTCAGAGTCTGACGCAGTGACTGAGCGCCGCGCTGTCGGCCAGGTGCACACGAGCCGGCTGTGCCGGTCAGAGCCTGGCGCAGTGACTGAGCGCCACGCTGTCGGCCAGGTGGACACGAGCCGGCTGTGCCGCTCGGAGTCTGGCGCAGTGACTGAGCGCCGCGCTGTCGGCCAGGTGGACACGAGCCGGCTGTGCCGTCAGAGTCTGACGCAGTGACTGAGCGCCACGCTGTTGGCCAGGTGGACACGAGCCGCGGCCGATTCCGTCTCGAGAGGAACGGCACGCTGGTGATCGTGGGCGTCGAGCGGGACGACGGCGGCGAGTACACGTGCACAGCCGACAACGGCCTGGCTGCGCCCGCCCGCACGACCGTCGCGGTCAACGTGCTCGGTGAGCTGGCGGCACCGACGTGTGGCGGCCGTCGTCAGAGTGGTGCCATGCTTGCATGCAGTCGGTTACTGGGCTGTTATAAACTCACTCTGTCTAAGCCTTCTGTTGAGTACTGCTTTGTAGAGTCATCCATGCAACCTACTCAATAACTCCGTCGTAGTACTAATCTAGCATGCTTATCCGTACTATTTCACGCAGTCTTTATAACACCATAAAATGCCCGGCGCGCCACGTATTCCAAAACGCATGCCGACTTTTGACAACAGCCCGCACAATGCCCAGCGGTGAGCCTACCTATCAGTAATCTGCGCAGCTGAGTCGGGTGCAGAGCGACTGATGCCCGGCCGTCATTGGGCAACGGCCGACGCGCGCGCGGCGAGTGAGTTCGGGCAAGCCGGCTGACCTGACCTGGGCGTGGCGGCGCAGACCCGGTGCCGCGGCAGGCGGACGTTCTGCGGCCACCGCCCGATGACCAGCCGGTGGTGGAGCTTGGCGGCCCGGCCATCATCCGCTGCTACTCGTACGGCTGGCCGCGACCGTCAGTCACTTGGTGGCGCGACCAGCGCATGCTGCCGCTCTCCTCTGAGCGCGTGGAGCAGAGTCGCGACCACACGCTGGTGCTGCGGCTGGTGCGGCTGCAGGACCTGGGCACCTACACGTGTCAGGCGTACAACGGACAGGGTCGCGCCGTCTCCTGGTCCACCCAGCTGCGCGCCTACGGACCGGTGTTCACCAGCGATCGCTCCGAGGACCAGCCGTTCCTGCAGTTCCTAGTGACGCGGAAGCAGCCGAGCCAGCCGCCCACACGCCCGCCGGCCGTCGAACCTACGCGCTTCCCGGCCCGCCGGCCCGGCGAGCAACCCTACTACCCCGACTACGCCACCCGGCCCACGCGGCCCACCATTACCGACGTCACACCCCAGAGGGGTGAGTGGGCGGCGCGACGAGTCGACTGACGGTCATAATGAGAGGAGGCCCTTCCTCCTGGGCCAGGCGTCAGAAGGCTTCTAGAGCGCCACTCGTTCGAGATTGGTCCGCTGGTCAGCTGCTCTGGGGGAAGCGGGACTGGGGCCAGGGTTGGGTAACCATCCGGCTCTCTCTTAATCAATCACTAGCACGTGTAACGTGACCTAACTACCACTAAGTCGTGTTGTACTAACTGCATCTATTATAGCCCAAGACTGATGGCATAACATGCAACGCTGTTATAGTCCAGGGAAGAAGAGCAATCATGCATGTAATACCTTGTATTGGCTGACAGTGTTTGCTCGCATTTGAAATAACAGGTTTCATGGTGAGAAGTATGGATAAGGCATTGCTTACCAGGTATATGGTACTAATTCATTTCAGCTGGTTCCCCGTGAACGTATCTCACTCAGTAAGCCCCGGGGCACCGCAGGTCATACCGAGAACTATTGCTCCACTACCCAAGGGCGAGGATGCTGCGGTCATGATAGCCATAGTCGTCCGCGATCCTTCACGCGCCCTGTCGCAGCGCGCGATGACCTACCGCCGCGACTGATGACGTGATCTGACCGAGCTCTGTGTGGCGCCAGTGGCCGTGCGGGCGTCCATTAACCTGACGGAGACCATGTTCGCGCCGGGTGTCGACATCCGCATCCCCTGCGAGACGTCCGGCTACCCGGAGCCGCGCATCACCTGGTACAAGGACAGCGTGCTTGTGCAGCCCGCCCAGCGGCTCCGCATACAAGGTCAGTAGCCCGTCAGTCGGCACGGCGGCTCGAAAATCTTGCCAGTTTTGGACACGTCACAATTTGTGTGAGTGCGTTCGTGTGTGTGTTGTGTGTGTTGTGCGTGTTGTGTGTGTTGTGTGTTGGAGAAGGGAACGGGGAGGCGTACGGGCATCATTTTTCACAATTTTCCTTTTGTCTGCCGTTTCTGACGTAATCTTTCTTTTGCTGTTCGCTTTCTAGCTTGGTAAAGCACTAAGACATGTTTTATGATTCATGTCCTCCCACTGCAGGCAACGATCTCCTTGTCCTGAGGTCGGAGCCGTCTGACACCGGTGTCTACCGATGTGAGGTGGATAACGAGTTCAGCACCGCCGAAAGCAGCGTTAGCATCGTCGTCGAGGGTGAGTAGTCAAGAGTTAGTTGTACAGAATAGGCAAGGGGTTGTACCCCACGCTAATTTTCCTTCTCCGTGCAAGGCATGTTTGAGTTATGCGATCACATCTGACCAGGATGTGGTTCAATGCATTCGATTTTCATGACGGCCTGGCTGCCGTATGACCATTGCAGTCGGCGCACCACACAGCCCAAATTGACGTCATGTCACGCACGCCTGGGGTGAGCGCAAGTGCCACATTCTGACTTACGGTTTCGCAGGCACCTACGTTCATCCCAACTGTACGGACAACCCGTTCTTCGCCAACTGCAAGCTGATCGTGTCAGCGCGGTACTGCGCCAACCAGTACTACGCGCGCTTCTGCTGCCGCTCGTGCACGCTGGCGGGCCAGCTGCCCTCTACCGGACGGCACCTCAACTATCCGCCGGCTGACGGCCGCGTCTAGCGACCTCCATGGGCCGAATACGAACTACAGTTGCGGACGGTCGTCGCTAGACGTGCGCTCCACGGCCACGGGGCAATGACGCGAACGACGCGTGGTGAGGCTCTGCTGAGCAGTTAAGGCGCCAGGGTTATGGCCGGAGCGCTGGGATCGAGCTCAGCTCAGCCACGGCCGGCGGCCGTGCAGTGCACAATGAAGCCTGGTCCGCACTGCATTCGGTACAATGCTACCAGTCGCTTGCTGCCAGCCGGAAGCCTCGAGTCCGTGTGTTTGCGATGCTCGACATCACTGCCAATGACGTGTGTCAATGTCCAGCCGGTGAGGTTGAGCACAGGGCTGAACGGCTTAGTCCGCTGGTAAACAAGTAGCGTGGGTTGCCAGCGCGCACGGCCGCCAGTTGTTAAGCAGTGTGTATGAAATGCTTGTCTTTAAATGCCATTTGACCAAGCGTGACTGTCACTTGGCTTGGCCATGCTTTGGAAAACATGAACGAATGTTAGCCGCGGCTTCTTACGGACTAGTTCACAACCGTGTGCCAGACTGTCTTACTTTTTTACGAACGCCAGTAAACCCGTGCTTTATACCAACAAGTGTACGGTATTGCACCACATGGTCTGTTACACTATTGGACGAATTCCTATTTTAGATATTTGCATGTGTGGTTTCTATCGCCTGACATCGGCCAGTCGTGTAATTTTATGTCGTCCTTGTCAGCCAATGACCTTGCCCTCGCTTTGATGCGAACCCAGTGTTCAGAACTGGCCCTGGCCATCTCAGCCACCTGAATATTGGGAGGAAAGGCAGGTGCAAAGCCGACCCTGGCACTCCCCCACCGCGTCTTTTATGTCTTTTGAATTATACGGTGTCCGTCGTCTTTGCATTTAGTACACATATGACTATCCGTTTTGCTAGCTTTTTGTCCACGACCTCTGCCGCTGGAAATACAGTGGTGGATGTCGGCCACCAGTTTCCCGTTCTCAATGTCTGCATTGCAGCGGACAGCAGACCTTAAGTGACAGCCTGTATGTGAAATAAAGCCATGGAATTCTGCCGAAGCCTTTCAAATCGTCATGACAGCGCCATGCCTGCACCGACCGCATGTCTGAAGAGCGAAGCAGATTCCTAAAGCAAGTTCTCAAAGAATGCAGCGATTTAGACCAAAAGCCATCCCTTCTAAAATCCATTAAAGAAAACTGTTTTGATGCATTCATGACAAGTTTGCCAGCTTGCGCCATTGGCATCCTGTTATCCATAGCAGCAACTTAGTGATCAGTCGGGCAGCGACAAGGGCAAGGACAATTTTCTGCCACAATTGCACCACTTGCCACGTGGTTTCAGGGTATGTATCAAGATCCACGCACACTAGCAGTGTCAGCGAGCCGCAAGAAAAGGGGTAACCTGTGCCGATATTTGATATAAACAGAGTACGACAAGTTACTAGACAAAATCAAAGATAGATTCTTAAATGCTTGGAGGGAGTGTTTCGCATTTCTATGGGGTGTTCAACTGAAAGAGCCGTCTTGAAGACCTTTCGGTTCAGTTAACAGCACTGCACTTCTTAAACGCGCCCGGTTGAGGGGATGGGGGGGGGGGGGTCAACTTACAGGGGTGGTAAAAGTGTACTTTTTGTCGCAGACCAAATTTTTGGAGGAAAAACTGTCGCCAGTAACGTAATGCGATATCATATGACAACATAGTCATAAAGTCCATGCCCAGTAGCGTAACCAGTAATCAGTCTTTCACAGAAACTCTTTCATCACTGCAATTTTCAATGTCATGCACATAACCGAAACGTTCAGTCAAACACCGCCCTTGAACAAATGTCAGGATAAGTGCTGTTGCTAGGGAAGCAGGCGCACCTGCCCTAGACTAATGAGATAGCCCAATCACGTCAGGAGTTTTCTTCCACCCTCGGCCCCCCCGGGACTTGCCGGGGCCTCACGTTTAAACTCGATCTACGGCTAAACTTGCTTTCCTCCCCCGCAAGAAAGCAGCGAATAACCTCAATAGCCATATCGGCAGAATGCATGGCAGATCCGAACCAGTAGCAAGCAGCACTGGGAGTGACGTCAAATATAGGGGCCTCTACAAGGCCATGCTCCTTTATGAAAATTACGCTGCGCTTCGAGCCCCATCTCAACCGTCGTCCAACTATCCACCACACCTTTGGCACGCTCCAAGCCTGGCGTGACATGTTTTGACTGGTGGACGCTTTCGCCGTGCCCCAACAAGTCATTGTATGGAAATTTATCAATAACTTCACGTCAGGCGGAAAGCCCTTCCTGAACAAGTTATTCGCCCTGACAGGAGAGGGAGGGTTTGCGATGCGACCCCCCCCCCCCCCCATACGGTCTTCTGAGGATACCAATGAGGATACCAATGCGGCATATTATGCAGTATTGCTCAAATCTTTGGCAGCCTCTGGGACATCCATTGTACGCGTGTTGACAGCTAAAAAGTGCCCCTAGCAATTCTGGTCTCAGAGTGGCAATGTTTTTTACGACCTTTGCGAGACTATTCAAGGCCGGCGGGTGCGGCGGGGGGCAAGCGACGATTCTGCGGGCCGCGCCCGAAGGGTTGGCACCGCCACAAGAACGGGACCCTACATTAGAAATCTAGTCTCCAAAACAGACAAAACTACTCGCCATTGCACTCATAATTAAACAAAGAACACGTCTCTTTATGTTTCATGTCACTTCACTTTATGGTTTGGTATATATAAGCAGACCTGATGTTTGGTTTTCAGGGATATTTGACCTTCGACGTGGTCTAGTAGGGTCAATTAACAACAGGCGACTTCTTACCAATCACAAGATCTCGCTAAAGCCAGGTGAGTTTTTCTGCGATTTCTTAGTTTGCAAACGTCAGGGAATCACCCTCTCCCCCCCCCCCCCCCCTCCAGTCCAGTCTGCGTTACAAAAACCGGCGAACCAGGGTAAGTGATAAAAGCGTTGGCTGACATGCTTTCTTGTTCATTCTACATACGCAGATGTAAAGTCTGTATTTCAGGTTATGAAAACGTGCACTGTGACAGCAGAACGACGCATTCCGTTACCAACAATCAAACCTTGATAGAAGTTCAATCAGCAAGCCAAAATCGCCCTTTGCATGCAAGTAGTAAGCAAATCTGATGTTACCTGTGATGTCTGTCATGTATAATGCAGGAGTGTCAATTCAAATTATTTTCGAGGGCACTACTCAATATCTTTGTTGGGTCGGGCCACCTTAATGCTGATTCCTCCTCCTCCCAGCCAACATTTGCAGCTGGAAAATTACAAAATATGTGTGAGAAAAAAAGCTAGCTTTAACACAAAACCATTCTCTCTGGACTTAATTTATTGACCATGATCCATGGGTTGCTTCTCCCTTTAATCATACCTAAAAATTGGCATTCCTGTCATTATGTCAACACCACATGTTGGGCTGGGCCCCTCAATGCTGATTCCTCCCCCAGCCAACATTTCTAGCTGGAAGATAAAAAGGATGTAAGGAAAAAGCTAATTACAACACAAAATCATGTTTTCTAGACTCTGAAGACAACATGAGCAAAAACAGTCATGAAACTTATCATATTTGCATTAATGCAATGCCATGCTTGTAAGTGCAAAGAAAATATTCACATCAATGAGCACTGCAGAATGAATAAATTCCAGAGGTTTCCTGTTGCAGTAAGGGTGCTATCACCAGGAAATAGCAAACATTGCCCTCATGGGCAACCAACTGCCAACATTTCACTGAACTCATAGGACAGTTGGACCACAATAACATAAAACCACCTGCTATTTGAAGCAGAACTCTTGTTAAAGGGGGAGATGGCAATGAAACCTGTACCCCCTCCTCTTTGCCTATGTTTCATACACCATTTCACCCTTCACTTGCATTGCCTCCTCATGGGCCTACCACATTGGGTATCATAAATTTCCAGCAACCAAGATTCATGTCAACAAAAGGTTGAACTGTAAACAATTGTCTAAAAGCTATCAAAACATGGATTGAAAAATTGTATTTCAGGCAGGGCATTGTTTTTGAATAAAGGTTAGGGAACAGTGAAAAATTATGCAATGTACCCAAAATATGGATGTCTCCCAGATTAGTACAGCACACTTCTTAACAAACTTAGGGGAGAGTTGGAGCTCTGAACCAAATAAAAAGTAGGAGCATTCCAATTTGAAGATTTATGTGACTGGTAACCATCCTCAATCAGGACACAAAAAATGGTGCAAAAATGACACAAAGTAGTATTTCTGAACCATTGCCACCTTCTGTTATTTTCTTCATGAGGAGTGCCATCAGACTTCAACATCAAAGCCACAGTTCTTTGAAAGGGAAGAAGGCTGGTCGTTTGCGACAGCTTCAGTGAGTCAGCAGCCTTCTCAGTGTCTTGAAAAGGCGATTTGGATAACCACAGGTCAATTTCTTCCCTGATCGGATCATCCCGCCGACTTACCCTCAACTGTCAACGCCTCGCGTCGCTGAGGACAGGATGCTGAATCACGGCATAGCCAACGAAGTAAACAAGGCCAGAAATCTAGCCCTGGGCGGGTACTCATGACACCGCAATGCTAATGGCAACTGCAAAATTTCAGTGCATTGAAAGTCACTGCCCACCTCAGATCAGTCGCATCGTTACAATTGAAATACGCCGTTGAGGCTAGATCAATCGCCATATCTAGATATTTGTCGGTACTTTTTACTATCTAGTTCGGGACACTGCGTCGACTGTTAAAAACGGCGAATCGGCCGACCGGCCCGGCCATAGGAAATACACTAGTTGTCACTGGCCTGTCTCCGAGTCGGCCGACCAATTAAAATTCATCGGATAGTTTTGTCGCCGGGTTGGAATGAAATCTAGAAAATACACCAGGGTGCGTAGAGTACGATAAAGAGTATTTACAGGAACGTTTGCTTGTGTTGTGTGACGGCATGTATTACGACGGAGGCACAATATGTATGCAGTGACCTCATGTTATGTTTTGCATAGTGTGCTGTGCTGTGCTTTTCGTCTTGGCCATCACCAGAATTTGCTGTCCAAGAACATTTTTGGCACCAAGCTTCCCGTGAACATATGCATTTTTGTTGCTGATCGTATCCACCAAGTCGATGTCAATTTCACTCCCCAAAGGTTTTTCTGGAATACTTTTTGACGGCGAGTCGCGGCCGCGCCAAATTTCACATAGCTGGGTACAGTTAAATATTAGACCATTTGAAATAAAAATTGTGGTTACATTGTAAGATCACTGGCCTACGGTAGGTCAAAAACAGGCAGTGGATTCAGCGAAGGCAATATCAAGGGAATCGTTCAACCTGACACAACAACGGAGTGTTAGACGAAGCCAGACATCTAAGATAGCTTCTTAGGCAACACTACAATTGCTTGAACAAATTCCGTTGACCTATGGCCAGGTATGAAGGTCAGGCCAGGTCAAAATCAACCTGCCTTATTACTCCAGAGCTTGCTGTGTGGAGTGGCTTCTGGTACTCATTTTTAATTTTTGACAACAAGAACCGCATCAAACACCTACCATAGACTTGTTACAGGTCAGGATAGGTCACTGACCTAAAATGCCCCAGGTGAACATTTTGTTTTGAGGGACATGCTGCGTAGCGTGATCTCTGACACTGATTCAAATGGAAAGCTCAAAGCAGTCTCTTATGATTTTGGTTATCGTGACCTCCGAAATGCCAAACAAGGTCCCTGACCCTAAATTATCACTAGTGATATTTTGCTTAGAGCAGATATCTAGGCGGAGGGACACTTTGGGCACAAATCTGGAGTGTGACCTTGTTTGACCTCATTTGACTCCAAGATCGTGACTTGGGAAACCAAAATTTTGAAGCAAGTGAGTTCACGTACCGATCAACAAACCCTGCCAATCTATTGTGTCAAGCTCTCTTGGCTTTTAGATCCAGGAAAGTCAAATTGTCCTTACCCCACCCGGGCAAACGGTATTCAACCGGTCACCCGGGCGCGTGTTACGACCTAAGACCTTTTGTTTTCTGAGTTACACGCCCACGAAGATGTGCGAACATTTTTGTGCTGACCATTTCGA